CTTCAGTCTCCAGACGCTCACTGTTATCTGTCTGCACGAAGGGCAGACCAATGTCGAATCATCCAACACGAAGAACGTACTCAGAAATCAGAGTACGTAATCCCTTGAGGGGCCCTGTCACGAATCAATCATTACGAAATCCCGCATTCTTCAATGTTCTTCTGACGTCAGCCACTCAGACGTAATCAGGACTGTGGAGGTGCCATGCCACATTCGATCTTCTATCTGCATGCTACAGACGAAAGATTTAGTCTCAAAACCCCGAAAGTGTTCTCTTAACTCAGCGACCATAGGCATTGTTCAAAATCGTTCTTCCCCATACCACATTCGCCCCGACGTTCAATTACCGCTGACATATATCTAGTTCACAAAAGCCAATTGAATTAACTATGTATCGGGGTATTCAAACCGGGAACGAAATTACCGATGAAACTCAATTCACGTTCTACTAGTGACCAATATTATCGCAAAGAATTAAACTTCTCTGGCGTTTTGTTGTTTCAGTAGTTAATCAGTTACACGCTAGAGAGGAGCACAGTCGATACGTTGCAACAACGAGACCGATCGAAGCGCCACTTTTCGAGTTACTGGAAACTTCTGTAACCTGACGATCCAGTTTTTTTTTTAAATCTGCGATGATTCAAATTCAGGTGATAATGACGAATTGTAGAGTACAGCTGTCAGGGCTTGCCACACCCCAGAGCCATCTGACGAATTAACTTCTGCACAGTTACGACTTGCGCTAGATACAGAATATGACTCTGTGGAAAATAGATAGGACACGTGCGATTGTACACAGCAGGTAGACAAAAAAATCTGGTTTGGAGATTCCATCAAGGCAGCCATCTTTATATTCAACGCCGTCAGAACCTTAAATCTCAACCTTGCAAATTTTCTCTCTCGTCACATCGACTAAAAGATTTTAACAAAAGAAATATCCATAAGTTACTGCTGAAAGTAGAGTGTTAACACTGACACTTTTTCGCCCTGAAGATGGAGGCAGCATATTTCTCCGAAACGCTGGCATCTACCGACGAGTCCACGCGGCGCCAAGACCCAGACCTCGTACGTCTTACACACAAAGGAACACAGAGTGGCAGGGATTTACCGACCTTCGCGCCGGTCGACGAATATGGCTCGTCAAAGAGGGACCATACACGGGGTTTGAGCCGCTGCCAGCGGGATAGGGTGCCGGCAAGGTAGTCGTCTTCATAGCCGAAAATCCTGGCAATCTCCTCGTCGCTCGGCTTATCGGCGTCAATGTCCAGTTTATCCAGGATCGCCAGTGTGGCCTGAAAGTCAGGGAAACCAGGCTACAGTTTGCCGACGTTTCGGGAAAAATTCACAAAGTGTGGTCCGCTCACCGCCAATGGCACGCGGAACAGCCGGTATTACGAAAGAATTACTAAACAAAATTAATAAAATACATAAACAAGTAGCCTAATACAGGAGTGCAGAAGAAAATTAAGAACACGACATTTTTAAATTCTTGTGTTTATTTTTTTGTAAAAATTAAGTTTGTGTGTGATGCGGAATGTTTATAATAAAATAAGGTTAAAACCCAAAATTGTGAGGCCAATGTCGACTGGGGATGATAAAAACGTACAAACGTAAATCGAAGATTCTCGTAATCCTAAAGTCGCAATTTATTATTATTATAGTGTTCTGTCTGACGACAGGTCCATATGAACAGGATCCTTCCATCCTTTTCTCGGACTGGGACCTGTTCATATACGTTCTTGGCAGATGATCCAGAAGTGGTTTGCCATTGCCTTCTTCTGTGTGTGAATGGAGTAATTGTTGGGATGCCACGGAGGAAAACTCCGTATTGCCTAGACCACGGCCTTGCCCAACACAAGTTATAAATTCGGGCACCGCCGGGAATCGAACCCGAGACCCCAGGATTACAAGGCCAGCGTTCTAACCGCTAGACCACCGTGGCGGTAAAAAAGTCGCAATACACCTACCTAAAGAAAATGAACACACAGAAATAAAATAAATACACGATACCAAATAAGTTCAAGAAAACAATGATTTAGGTCCCGAATAAGATCAGTTTTCCTCGTGAACTCTTAAACTAGTGTTAATGGTACCGAATAAGATCAGTTTTCCTCGTGAACTGTTAAACTAGTGTTAATGATATCTACAAACGTGCGTTGTTATTCAGATCTGAAACAGAGGCAGATCGGCTACAGCCAGAAATTTGACGTTCAAGCAACCCACCTGCGTGTCCCTGTGAATGCTGTATGTACTCCAGCAACATGGCTCTACTTGGTTTGAGTCGAGGCCCCAGAATTCCAGCTCCTCCTCAAACAGCGGCCCGCAAACGTTTGTCGGGTAATGGAGTTTCCCGGTACTGAAACACATCATTACGACTACTACAGGCCGTGGATCAGACAAACCTGTAGCCGGGGCTAAAGCGTGCGTTTTTCCTACTACGTCAATAGCTTGCTAGTAAAATGTAAAGAGACGCACGCATTTGCCCCGGTCAGAGCCTTCCACGTGGCCCAAAGGTTATTACCCTGTTCACAAGAGCCTACCAAGTCTGAGGTCTGCCCCACGCAACACTTCGTTACTTACTTTCTTTTGTCTGTCAGGAACTTTGCCGAGCCACAGCGCTGAGGAACCGCCCCCTGTCAGTTGTCAGCGACTCTAGAATAATTACGTGTGACAGACTGACACAAGCGTGCATTTTCCTTTGGAAGCTGCCATCAATGTTTTTACAAGACCCGAATGCTGAAGGGTTTGTGCACCAAACGCGTGTATGTCACCGCAGAACAATTAATAACACGACGTCGCTGTGGGGACCATCTATCCGCGAGATATTTAATTAAGTCAGAAACTATACATCTTAGTCGAGCTTTCTCCCTCTGGCATGGTTTCCTTATCACAGCTGTTTTTCTCCTTCTATTGTTTCACGTCCAACGCAAGCTTATTGACACGACGATTATGAATGGCTTATCAGAAAGGTGTTGAAGAAGCGGTTACTTAATGAAGACGTGTGAACTGCAAATATTATAAAAAATATATATCTCCGGTCTCGGTTTTCTTCAGTCCCCTACAGGATCATTCCCGAAGAGTAACTTGAAATATCTGATATTGGAAACACGTGATTTGCAACAGCTGGATTCTCTTCCGTTTAGACAAGTTCACTGTAAATACGAAGGTTCGAAAAACATCTGCAATGAACAGAGGCTTACCGGTAGTAGTTGAGGACTTGGGCGAAGACGCCGGGGTGGCGATCGAAGAAATACTCGTTGAGGATTGGGTCGTAATTGGCGAGAGCCTCTGTCAGCCGCGACAGACGCGTGGCTGGGATCTTCTTGAGCGTCGCCTTGTACGTCTCGTAGCGGATCCCGCCCACGTTCAGGATGATCCGGTTCTCACCGTCCATCGCGAGACGCCCGGCGTCAGGGCCGCGGGTCCCTTGGGGGCGGCTGTTTCATTGGGACCCTACAACAGGAGACGGATTAGCCAGTGAAATTCAATGTGGTGTGGGTGGATGGTGACGATTTCCCTCGTTGTGAATAGTTCAGACATAATGGAACAGGTGCTGTTTATTTTAATAGAAAACACCAAAACGAAAACAGAACAATACTTCAACACAATGAAATCGCACAAGCAAATAGGTGAGAATTATTTCGCTTTGATGGAAATCACTGTCGCTTGTTCCGGGATCTCATGAACCGAAACGTCCGAGCTTCTACCTGGACGGACTGAGGAAAATCCTGTCACGAAATTTCCGGTAGAGGGACAAAACGGCCGGAGCCATCACCTCATCAATTCTCCTATTAATTTACGCGGCAGAGTGCATCACCCTGTATAAGGCCAAATCAGACCGTATGACTGTGGGGATACAAGTAAACTGATGCATACTTCAGTAAAAAAAAGTAAAATTCGAACCTTAAATTTTAAATTTTCGAAATACGCTACCCGTCGTTTTGGCATTGAATATCAGTGCACGGAGTGCCTCAGGGTGCATATAGCGGTACAATTTATTTTCCTTCAACTCTGCAATTGAAACTGAAATGTTTGGTAATGTAATTAGTGATTGAGTTTGCCTTGCTTTCAATGCTGTAAGCAACTCCATCTTAAGTGCGGCTTCTTTATTCTGTTAGTGGAACAAAGGCGTTTCCTTTCAAATTTCATCGACGCGACTACAGCTACATCTGTCGGCACTTTTAAAAGACTTCATGCACCGACGCCTCACGTTATTCTACCATTCATCTTTCTTTCTTCATTTTAATCTGACATTCATTTGTATAAAATTTAACCTAACCTAACCTAACCTGTGAAAATTGTGAGATACGTTCAAACGTAGACGTAAACATTTTGTATGTCAACATAATTTTACTGACTCAAAACTCCTTTTCAACCACATATAACAAATGACGAGGATTGTTACGCTGTGCATTCATTTCCTAACTTGTTAAAGCACCTAGGTGATTAAATACGTAAAATGTTAAACCGATGGACGTCTCTTAAATCAAGTTGAAAGAAGTAATTTAGGAAGACGAAGTTGACCTTCTGACTACGTATGTACCACGAATGCCCATGTTTACAGAAGAGGTAAAACCCTACACATTATAAATCTTGTCAGCAAACGAAGATGAATGGTCAGTTTCACAAACGGCTAAGTTTATTACCAAGGAGAAGCCTAAATATATAACCTAAAATGAAAAAATAAAATTGAACGGTTAAAAGTAAGGCTGTGAAAGATACAGGTTGTAGTCTATTATATGATACTATCGAATCATCTTCCTGGATACTTAAAAAAAAAATCCGTTTTTGGTAGGCGATTTCCGTGCCAAAATTCTAATTTAGAATAAGTTCTAACACTGCATTAGAATACATTCAATGATAGTGTTACGGAGATAAACAGATTGATAAATAAAGGGGCAACAAGGAATACTTTACTATTCCACACGATGAAGTGCCTAATAAATATGTACAAATTACGATAAAATCTCCTTTATTTGTAGTGACGAAACTCTTCATTTGAATCCAAAATAATATTTGCAGGCTTTTATACGAGTTACATTTACGTACACCGCTTGCATCCATTGGCATTGTCTAAATTCATCCATAAACTAAATAAGTTACGAGACAGAAATTGAATTGTGATATCAGTTTCGTGTAGTTGAAACCTGCAATAAATATGTGACATTTCATGTTGTTCACAAACGCTCGGTTACAATACTGCTGATTTAGCTTAGTTTTCTTCCAATAAATACAAATTCCTGGTCACTACGCTTCGTTCAAATTGAATAATAACCCTAGGTTACAAACACTCGGCACGGCCGCGCTATAGCCAGATAAACCGAATCGTTTGCATCCTGTCACGAAACTAATATTTCCTGAACCAATTTCACTTTATCTACGTTCGTAATCCTGAATATTAATTTCCATTATTAGCATTCACTTACCGACGTAACGACAGATCCAGGATCACGCATCATAAAATATCTTATATCACCAGCTATAATGTTTAGTAACCATGCATTCTGCCCATAAAATGTCTTTCCGTATAATTTTCAGCATAAACAGCGATTATTTCCTTAAACAGCGTTAACCAGTTGATATTTCTAATGGTGAAGAGTTGTGTTTTCTTCGCGGTACGGACTGAATTCTTAAATGTAATTTAGACGAACTATGATTCTCACTGTAAACAGCGATTATTTCCTTAAACAGCGTTAACCAGTTGATCTTCGTAATGGTGAAGTGTTGTGTTTTCTTCGCGGTACGGACTGAATTCTTAAATGTAATTTAGACGAACTATGATTCTCACTGTAAACAGCGATTATTTCCTTAAACAGCGTTAACCAGTTGATCTTTGTAATGGTGAAGTGTTGTGTTTCCTTTGCGGTACAGACTGAATTCTTAAATATTAAATAATATTTAGACTTTCTTCGTCTAATATAATGAATGAAACATTCATTGCCTACTTCTGACTGAGTCCGGGTAATTGTCAATCATCATAGTAAACGTAATAATAAAGTACTTGCATCTTAAGTAAATTATGTAAGCACAAAACCAATTCTTTGACACAGGCTCAATACTGCCCCAACGTAGAAAACTAACCCTTATTTGTTCTCAGCGAATAATTGTTCAATATATTAGCAACCCCGTCTAATTCACCTGCAAATTAAGGATAAGAAATTCTGTGGTCACAACGGACACACTTAAGTGTGTACTAGTTTATCACGAAGAAAAATAATTTTTTTTCGAAAATTTAATATAAATCCCTCGATACTGAAATCCACTCAGTAGTTACAATACGAAACATGACAATGCAAGAAATAGATGATTTTCGTGTTATGATTTCGTTCAATCCATACATGCAACATTTGAAATGTGCTGTAGAATTTGTTTCGTAAAGAGGGGACGAGGGTTCTCTGTGAGGAGGGTTGCGACGAAAGTTGAAAATAAAGGAGGCTGTGGGCGGGATTGATGGGTCCTGGCATCGTCTCCTAGAGAATGGATAAAAATAACGCTGTGAGGAAGACTTTTGTGACAGAAGGAGAACAGAAAAGACCGAAAGGTAGATCAATGGAGATCTGAGAACTGAATAGACTGAAGATCTGGGTTTCACTCTTTTACTCGTGTAGAGATTACTGGGAAAAAGAAAAACTTCAATTGAGACCGCAGAATCCGTTTCCGGTGGTCGTTTTCAAAGGCTGCCAACGGATTTCGTAAACTTTAGCGATCCATTGCGTCTCAGAACCACTTAGCTGTAAAGAGTACGAAGAACTGATTTGATTCTTGCGTCTCAGAACCACTTAGCTGTAAAGAATACGAAGAACTGATTTAATTCTCCAGTTATTTAACGATAATGTTCCAACTGCTGACGCTATAAGGTGACGAATGAGATGGAAAAGTGATAACGGGTGGCGATTTATAGGGACTCAGAACATGATCCATCTAAATCTGATGTTCGCAATCCGCTGTATTCAATATGAATCGTATATTTCCTTCCCAGGTTAAGTTATTCAAGTTACTTATTTCCTGTATAAATTACATATGACTTTATTATTTCTCTCAGTAGATTTATACGTAAATTCCCAAAATTTGCCTTTAACTTAATTTCTGTTACGGAAAAATGATTCTTTCAGGAACACTTTCACCATGTTATGCGCACCCTAAAGAACGCATTTAAATTATTATTTTTTAACTGCATCTGATCCATTCAGATCCTGAACGCGGAATTCTGTAGACAAGGCTGTCATTGATTTCAAAATGTTGGAGACTATTTGTGTGCATGTGCGCATGTGTTTCTGCCAAGAGTGTCACATGTTTGTGACGTGTAGTGCCGGTCCATAGACTGTAATTCTGCATTTAAATAGGAGTCGTGGAGCTCAGTACACATGCAATTGCTGTACGTAACTTACAAGATGTGAAGCCTGATTGATCGGATGATATCAAATCTCTAATATAAGGTTTCGGGTTCGAAGTTGTATTAAAACTGACAATTTTATGTTCTGTCGCTCTAAACCTGAGTCCAGATTCTCATATATAAGTAGGGACTTTATAAAACGTTTGGATCGGATCAAAATTCGTGTCCCTTTACAAACGAACTTAGGTTTCTCCATTGCCCTTTTATTCTCTTGTATGCAGGCGAAGTGCGTAGCCCTGCGAACATTTTATATACGCATTATTTGTCAATTTGCATTTTGCCGTGGTATTGGATTTTATTCATTCCATTTACGAATCAGTTTCTTCACTTTTTCCTTCCAAGCCGTCTTGTGCTGAATCATGTATCGTTAAATCGAGGCGTAGAGCAACACAAAAATTTACTAAGACACGTAAGGTTATCACAGCGGTGAAAGTTTAGATTGAGTACTCCTTAGTAATGACATCATGTAGTCTTGTAGATGGTAATCGAAATTGTTCATCACCATTCGTGTAGTTTATGCGTAGAAGATATCCTCCATTCCTGTGACATGGGCCTCATAGCCCACACATTTCACACCCCTGTTGAAAGTCGTAATGTCGCAGGTAGCGAGGATCAATATTAGGCCAAGAACAGTAACAAGAGATCTTTATGTCTGTTTCTCCAGGTTTACGACCCAAAGTGTTTCTACAAAGCGCAATACAGCCACGTCAAGCCGATTTCCTGTAACTCTCCAGATAATTAACCGACCTAGTAAAATTGTATTTCTTCAAATAAACCTGACTTCTGTTGTATGTTTCGCAGTTTATTTATTTTTTTCCTGACTTCTGTTGTATGTTTCGCAGTTTCCTTCTTTTTATTCCGTTTATTTGAGTTTTACTTAGTTAATAAGTCGTAAGAACAAATAGCGGTTAGAACGCTGGCCTTGTAATCCTGGGGTCTCGGGTTCGATTCCCGGCGGTGCCCGAATTTATAACTTGTATTGGGCAAGGCCGTGGTCTAGGCAACACGGAGTTTTCCTCCGTGGCATCCCAACAATTACTCCAATCACACACAGAAGAAG